ACACATTGACAACACGCTTGGATGCTTTGCTTTAGCCTTGCGATGCTTAGCTAGCCTGGCCTGCGATGCACCCTGGCCAATATTAGGGGTTCACTGCCTGTGTTCAGTCGCCTCTCAGCTGCCTTGTCTGTCGGTTGGTCGTCTCTTGTGCTCTCTCGCTCCCTCTCAGTCGACACCCACAGGGGCGCATGTCATTGTATCACTCTAGCTCGCGCCAATCCGCGCTATGAGAATATCAAGCCATTCCTTCTCATGCCAAGGTATATTTTACCGTAGTATGTCGACGGTGATCAGTCTCTCTTTCATTCCGAGCACAGCTGCATCGAGACAAGATTGTTGATACTGACTAACGTCTGGCCCAGTCAAAGGACTTCCCAAATACCAGTAGCTAGCTCTAGCCAGCGAGTGGGAGTAGGGCAATGTGTGCAGTGTATATAGAACCAGGGCAGAGCGATATATTTGTTGTTGGATCTCACCCATGTGTTCTTGTGTCCTATGCTGTGTGGTCTCGAGACCAACTCTGGTGATCAAATATTTGGAATATCAACTCATTTTCACGGTAAGGTTGATGATGCATGATGATGGGCTCCTTTTATTAGGACACTTACAATGTTCTTTGTCTGCAGTCCTGTTTGTAATTATTGTGAAAATCACCCCAATTATTAATCATAAATATCAATGAGGGATTCAGAATTGTTTTTTTGTTGTTGTAGATATTAACTCTGATAGTCAAGTCAACAAAAGTAGCTGTTAATAAATATATTTCTTTGTAAACTATTTCTCTCTTGTTAATATTATTTTTTCTGTTTTCCATACTATATATTTACCTACTTCATAGCCTTGGATGCCCCCTTCAAGTACTTTTGTCTTTTACTCTTGAAGTTAACAAATAGGCATCAGAAATAGGATTGCAATGTTGATACTATGGTTGGCTTTTTCTCTATTCATTCTTGATACAGAATTCTGTCCATGATATTTACCCTCAAATTTTTGTATTTGTTTGTAATTATAGCGAATGATATTAATGAACTATATTATTATTTATTGAATTTGTAGAGGAAGGTATTTGTAAAGAAAAATTTCTTGAAAACTTGAGGCAAAATTTAAGTATCTTTTTCACTACATTGATTTGTAAAACATTTATATAATCTATTCATGAAGAATATGAGAAATTAGTTGCTATTTACCTCTGCTTTACTATTAAAGTTGATCATTGTTTTTTTTTCTTCACTCTTTATTTTCACTTCAAACTGTTAATTAGCAGCATTGTTGTCATTTGAAGCTTAATGCAGCACAAGTTTCTGGTGCTACTCATTTCATTTTCTCTCTTTCTTCTATGCTTAATTTGAAGAAGAGGAAGAAAACCACATGTTATACATTTGATATGTGTCTAATTACCCGTCACTTACCATGATAAACACATATCACTAAGTAGAGGATATCAACCATGTTTTACAAAAATACTGAACTTATCAAATGACTCATATCGAGAGGATCTATACTGTTTGTACTCTTATTGTGAATCAATGATTCTTGAAATTCATATGTTTTGTTGACAATTTAGGTTTACATACCAGAGATACTAAAGTAGTTTCACTCAATTTAAATGTTGACATAGTCACCAAAATTGTAATTGGAATTTGTAGGTTTATTTGTAATTTTTTGTTTTGTTTAATATGTAATTGTTTATCTTTGTATTTTGTTTGTATAGCGCTTAGAGACTTTAGTGGTAAGCGCTTTATAAGCACTGTTTTTATAATTATTATTATAGTCTGGTAATGACGATTATTCTGACAAAGGTCTAAGATTTAAATGAAGCATCTAAATAACTGCATTAAAAACACACTAAGGAAATAAAATATCACTGTTTTTCCTATCCATGTTTGTTTGTTTTTACCTCTATAGGGGCATGTAGAAAATTGGGAGTGTAAAAGGGGTTTTATTGCTAATTCTATTTTTCACTACCCACTTTTAAGTTTCTGTATACCAATCAAAACATTTTTTTTAAAGAAATTAATTCAAGATTTGGACATGGTGGGGAAGAACATTTGTTCACTAAGTGACTAATTTTGGGTTTCTTTCTCATTCACAAGCAATATTATATAAAGGACAATTAATTGTGAAGTACATAACACACATTCATATTTTTCCATGACGATGGCCAGTAAGTTCTCATACACAATTTGTCCCGCTACTGTATATATGTTTACAATGTGCATTTGTATCTGTAGACATTTTATGTTAATCAGAATGGAAGCTACCCCTACCACTACCAATAAATCCCGCACAATACTGTCTGTAATTCTTGCCCTTCCCCTAAACGACTCCAATAAATCCAGCCATCCCTGGTCCAAGATGAGCGTTTTGCTTCCTCTTGCCCCGAGGCTAGATGTAGTACACACAAACACACGCTCTCCTCTCCCCTCCTCCGAGCTCCGAGCACGCAGCCATCATTACCCACACCTTACTTACATCTTCCCCTCTCTTGTCTTGCTCTCCTACTCCTTAATTTCTACTAACTCATGACATGCTTCTCTTTCCCCCTCCCCTCTCCCTCTCCCTCTCTCTCTCTCTTGTCCTCATCCATTTGAGATGGCATCCGAATGCTTTCCAAATTGTTCTGATTCACCGAAGTTGCCCCCCACACAATACCACACCGTAATTTCTCCAATAGACACGCTTCGCTAACCGTTATTACTTAAATGACCATGCATTTGCCGTCCATTAAGCCTTTCCCAAGCGCAGGGGGCCAGTATGTCGAGTGCCTTTCCTAATTTAGATTTTCGTCCGTCACAATTTTCAGATGATTTTTTTTTGTTTTCCCCCGAAGACGTTTGGTATAAATATTGTTGTGTTCTCTGCTCGAGTTTTACGCAAGTAATGAAAGCATCTATTTATATACTGAAGCAAATAACTAGTGCTGTATAATTTTGGTTAAACACAGATCAGTTTGCCTTTCATAAAGATAAACACTGGATATAATAATGTTATTCTTTTGAGTTTTAATATCAAAATGGAAAAATCCTGAGGTTGCAGTCATTAATGACCATGCTGTATGTATATCATTGCAAGTATTCAAATTTCAATTCAATTCAATTCAATTCAATTCAATTCAATTCAATTCAGTATTCTGTTATGAAGTGCCATGAAAGCGTTAACATAAAATATCAACACATGATCGAAAGGAACTATCTTGAAGTATGTGGTATGTAACCTATGTAATACAGATAAGGTCCAAATCTCATGAGATTAGTTAATGGTGCATGTGAAGCCACATCAATCATTGAATTCTATTTAATTCCAAACACAACTCTTCTAATACCTCCTAAACCATTCTTAGTATACAATTAGAGTGCCCAAGTATTCATAGTATTTTCATTCATGTGTGGAACCACCAACCTAAAGTCAAAAGTAGAAAGAAAAGAAAAGACTACGGTAAAGGGATTCTAAGACCTGCTTTTCTATGACTCATCAGTCATCATAGAATTAGTTTACAAACTTTGTGAAAAGTATCTTACAAATCATAGAATAGAGTCCAAAGGTGATTACACGATTTGTTTTTTTCGATGAAATCAGCGTTTGCAAACTTTCTCAAATCTTCTTTATAAATTTTTGTTAAATTAGAAAGTGAAAACAGTTAACTCATATAGCTCTTATATTATATCTATGATACTTGTTATCTATCTATGTTTTTCCAACGTTTTTGAGAAAATTCCCTTTTTAAAACATTACCATGATAAGAAATGACCTTTATAGAATTGTTGTGATGTAGTAGCATGACATATGAAACATTGTACCTTTAAGCAGACATGCAGTTTACCAGTGCACAAATGCTATAACTTTTTAGGAAATTCAAATCAAAATTGTTGTGCACTCTAATTTCACAAATTGGAATTGATTCTCATTCTTTCCATTTATAATCAGCTTATTTTGAATCGAAGGAAAATTGAAAAGCTCAGTAATTTGCAACAATGAATTTGCTTTTCTTTTAATTTCGAATTAGCACAATACATTAAGGGCAATTAAAAATTTGTCATGTAGCTATGTGGAATTATTTTCTTTGAATATCATTAAGAGTAGAGAGACATTTGATATATTTTGTCACCCCTAGAATAATTTGTTTAAATATTTTTTTTGGGATAAAAAAAAAATATATCTGCATTTCAAGTCTTAGATATTCTGTTTCAAGGTAACAAGCATTGTGTCAGTAATTTTTCTGGGACAGGAGCAAAAATTCCTGAAAGTTTGAGGTCAGGACTGTTCATCAGACCAGGTCCATTGTTTGACCACAAGAAAAGGAAGCCAAAAGACCCATGAAAGAAGGGATTTTACACAAGATTGACTCTCTAAGCACTTTATAAGCAGCTTCTAATAGCTGGAATACCTGTTTGTGAAAGGAAGGGCTTATTCTCTAAATTGTTTGGGTTTTGTTACGGTTAAACTGTATCAAAGTAGGATGATCTGACTAATCTGGGAGTATATCTGACATTGATTGGTTTGCATAAGGATGCAATGGGTTGTGTAGATTCCAGATTCATGGTAGGATTAAAAGCATAAGCTTCCCATTTAAATTAAATGCAAGTTCGAGAAAAGTTCAAAAATGAGTCACCTTGGAATTGGTGACACAATACCTAAGGGAATAAGTAGTTTTTGTTTTTTTTATGTTGGAAAATCGAGGAATATGTATTGTAAAATGCAGTGCAGCAGTGATGTTGCAGGCATTGCAAATCATGTTATTTTTTATTGCAAGTATTTATAGAGTTTAAAAAAAGGTAATTCTACTCCAAAATGACAACAAGAAAAAAAATATGAAAGAACAGAAACTAAGAATAAAAAAGCACTTACCTGATACCTCAAAAATGAAAATGAAATTGCAGGGAGTTGGTTATCAGACTAATTAATTATTGAGTGATGGTCGATGCCTCGATTTTGAGGATGTCTAGCTACAATTACAGTTTGTTTTGCAGTCTCCTATGTTGTCCTCTGATGGCTAAAATGGTGATTTTTTTAACAGGCAGAGAAGTCCACAGGTTATTGGCATGCAAAGTTGGAGGTATGTGCTGCTGTCATGCCCCTGGTCTTTTAAAAAAACTACAGGTGTTATCAAAGGTGTATTTTTCTATATTCTATATGGATCTTGTTGAAAAATACATATGAATGCATGTATCGTCTGTACCATGTGTACTTTTATAGATCTCTTATGAATGTTGATTGAAAAATGAAAATTAATGAAATTAAGCTCATACCACAGGAGTTGTTTTATAGTGCATATTAATCAACGAAAATGTCACGATTTGTGTGAAGAGAAATTTATTGAGTGCATGTCATTGTCGTAGAAACTCAGCAAAGTCAGTGTTGGAAAAAAGCTGATTTACAGATGCTGTTGTACTTGTCATTTCTGTTTTTCTTTTTTCTTTTAAACTTTTTAGCCAATTATATTTTCCCTAATGGAAGTAGCACATGCTTCATAAAAGACCTTGAATTTTATTGTTTGGTTACTATAGAGTATACATTAGACCTCTACTTTTTTTTTTTATGAGTGTATTTTTAAGACCTCTGAACAAGTAAATAAAAGTATTAATATTTTTGGACCTGCCTTTTGTGACGAATAATGCAATTTTCAAAAAAATCAATAAAGACGGGAAGAAAAAAAATGTGGTTGAAATGAACATTATTTCAATTGAAAATAATAAAACATATTGAAAAGTTTAAATCTAAATGATTGGATTCTAGTATTAGATTTATAAGATAATCTACATCCATTTTGAAAACTTTGAGAAAAAGATTGGAGGAAACCAGCATTTATTATCTTTAATTTGTTAATGGACTGTGATCCATTATTTTCATGACTATCTTGAAGCCTATATTCATTTCATTGCTACTATATCATTCTTGTCTTGTACCATTTGAATAGTCTGAAGTACCTTTAATCATAACAACTGTTTTATTTTTGTTCTTTTTAATAGATCATGGATCTTTGATGGAAGACGGTCATTGACAAGACACACAGGAAGCTGCATCAAGCTGCTAAACACCCCCAACAACAAACATGGGCGGAGAGAAAAGACATTGCATAACATCAAAGACCATGTGCCTACCAAGCATTCTAGTTCATCTTCACATTCTACTCATGACCGCATCGTCGGTCTTCAGCTATGTCCATTTCACCGAGGAGAACTTTCCCGGTAACACCGACATCTCGTTACAAAAAATGACTCTGGACCGTACAACGAACACCCTGTATGTGGGTTCAGTTAATAGATTATATAAGCTGAATAGCGATCTAGAAGAAGAGACTCATAGAGATACAGGACCCGTGTTTGATCATCCTACGTGTTTTCCTCCACCAGGGCAGTGCACGACGAAAGAGTTCAGCAGGGAGGATACGAACAATATCATCAAAATTCTATTAGTTGATAACGATAGGTTAATCACGTGTGGGAGTGTCTACCAGGGCACATGTCAGGTTCGTAGTTTAGACGATTTCTCGCCTCTGGGTAATAATACCTCGGAGGAGATAGCAGCTAACACCAGGATAGGTACTTCAGTGGGGTTTATATCTAGAGGTCCAGAGGACAGAGCCAGTGTGTTGTATACAGCGACGTCCAGCGCTGATTGGATAGACAATAATGTGCCAACGGTGTCTGTCCGGTCATTGCCGGAGAGTCCTTCAGCGAATCTGTTTTCGGTTCTGAAGACGGGGTTTCGGGCAGTGAGTCAGATCGTGATTCCAGCGGAGACGGTGTCTGAGTCGCCTAATGGCTTTAATATCACCTACGTATATGGGTTCCCGAGCGGTAATTTCAGCTACTTTGTAGGCATTCAGCCATGGAATCATCGTACCCTACCCAGAGAAGTGCAATACTACACAAAACTCATCAGGATATGCCAACGAGACATCAATCTACTCTCCTACATAGAGCTACCGTTAGAATGTCGGTCGGGAGGCGTAAACTACAACATTGCGCAATCGGCTTACATCGCAAAGGCCGGGAAAGAGGGCGGGGAACCGTGGCAGAACCAGGACGCCCTCTTTGTCACGTTTGCTCAGTCGCTGGAGCATGATCGTGAACCCCAGAGGAAGTCTGCTGTTTGTATGTACCTGGTGTCCGATCTGAATCAAGCTTTCTTCAATAGAAGACGTGAATGCGTGAATGGACATCAATCAGACACGCAGATGGAATGGTATAAGAGTGTGGCTTGTACAGCAGTTGGAAAAAGCCCTACGTTACTGGTAACTATAGCAACTTCCGTACTACTGTCAAATCAGAAACTTTTGCAACATGAAACTTGTTATGAATTGTCAAAGGACAGCCATTTTCGCTGCAAGATATTTGTGCAAATTACAAAAGATTAGTGTTGTGTGATATGAAATTTAAACATTTCATGGCGTGAAACTTTCGCCAATCTGAACCACTCACAAAATTGGCAACATTCCATGCACGCTAACGTTTCTGGTTTTAGAGTAAACTTCTTCATGTTTGAAGATTACTTAGTTATTGTGGGGTTTCAAAAGTAATGGTTTTGGGTCAAAAGAAAGTGGACATCACTTAACTTCGTTTTCACTTGTTCTTCTTGAATTTTGAAAATCGGTTAATGTATTAATCCTAACTTGTTTTCTCTGTTCCTTTAAAGCTGATACTCTAAGACAATCCCAAATACTGAGATAATTACATAAATAGAAAGCTTTTAACCCCCATAATAACACCAAATGGTGTCCACCCGACAAAACAAGTTTAGAATAATGAATTTATTTGAGTAAACTCTACCAAAATATCTAAGTCTGAAACCCGGAAGTGCACGTAGAGTCGGGCCTCTATCCGTGACGTCACGAACGGGAGTCATGGGCTCAGTGAGAGTGAATGGCAGTGATATCCCTACGTAAATGCTATCCTGTCAGAGCTTAGATTTGTTGTTGTTAAGGAGTATATTTGATGGATTTTCTGTTTTCATTTGAATGAAGAATAACGAAGCAACATTTTCCAGTCGCTGATTTCTTTTTATATCCTCATATTCACCTATTTGGTAGAGATTTAAGACGAGTTTACTGCTTAGGAATTAAAGTTAAATCGTGCACTTATGAATAGGCGGATGCATTATAAATTATTGTCATCAGATGTACATGAGCAGTTTTGTAAAACGAATAGGTCTAGAACTATGATAGTACTTATCATAGATGTGTGTGATTGCCTCAAAAAAGGATACAGTACCAGTTAAACATTTTATGTTGTAAAATATCAAACTTGAACGAGATCATGCAAGCGCGCTTCCTCTATAATATTTTGGCGAGTGATGCGGCTCTTGCATGAACGTTCGTGGAGCGAGCAGAATCGGGAGGTAAGACCAAGCCGCTGCTCTAGGCGCTGCTTGCTTGTGATGGAACGTACGTGCGCTATAGTTATATGTTTATCGGCAATTGCAAGAGAATGAAAGTGACGTTGCCAGCTAAGAAAAACAACTAACAAAGACTTGCTCCTGACTACCGGTGTCAGAATTGGTAGATGAAGGATGTTCAGGGCCAAGGAAGGCGAAAGACATGGGAAAAAGGAAGAAGAAACCATCGGGAGATCGCTGCAGTGTATGGTAATGAACTGTGCATGGGTAGACAGCTACTGTTCACTCCGTGCCTGGGCCGATTTCAACACCAAAACAAAAATTACATGGTGAAAATATCGACTAATAGCACATCGTTGGCATGTATATGTCATAATTTTTAAAAGGGGAATTGATATTAATACTATGAAGTACTAGGGGAAGGTAAAGAATTGTACATAGAATTATGATTTATTAGACTTTTCAGCCTTTGAAACAAAAATATGCAGAAAATCGTATCACTCTGCACATGTTTGCTATGGAACATCCGGGTACGTGAATATACTCTCTCCCGGACGTGAGGTCATAAATAGTAGACCAGCGTCGTGACTGATTTTCTATGCAAAGAGAGGCGGATATTTTAGACATTTCAATTGAGGATTTCGAGTAGACAGAATTTTTCTGTGATATACTAAGTAATTGAAAAACTTAAAAATAACATATACTTGCCGTAGGTAACAAATTAAGGGACATTTATTTGCTTAGAGTATCAACTTTAAGAAAATTAAGCATAGAATATCTTCCAAGAGAACACACTTGATAATGAGTACTTGTTTCTCTTAGGACAAGAAAAGACAATTGTTTGTCTTAGACCAACCAGTCCTGCTCTTAGTTTAAGAGCAGGATTTCCTGCCCATCCTACGGAAGACGTTAATTTTTCATTAATGTGAGTGATTTGTTTTGCAATTTGTAGGTAATGTACAAACCATGCTTCCTTGTTGCTATGGCTTCTAATGTTCTTACGTCTTTGTTTAAAGGTTGCACAGATGGACCGTCAAGGGCGTAACTACTGCCACACCCTAGATTTCATTGGACCAATGGGAGGTACTGAAAGTCCTATCATAGCTCAAGCGATGCACGTCGACAACGCCAACCTTTTCACCGCCATTGCAGTCTCTCACAAGCCGCAGGAATCGGCCATCTTTGTGGGCGACGACTCTGGACACCTGAGAAAGGTTTCTAGTTTTTTATTTTATTTACTATTTATTTCTAAAAGACTTTTGAGCCATGTAGTGCTGTGGCTCAGAACCAACACCAGTCTGAATCTCACCAGACTAAAGGTCTTTGGCCAAACCTGAAACAAACCTCATGACAAACAAATTATTGTCAACTTCTTAAGAGAGACCCAGTAGAAAAGGGGTTTGAAAATGCTCTTTATTCAGCATTTTTTTATCACAGAGATGAATACTTTTTGGGAATAATTGCATGCATGTTAACATGGCTGCCTGGAGTAGTGAAATATGCATTGCAATACAACGAAACAAAACTCTCTAAACAGATCAACACAGATTTTGTAGAAGTCAGCAAGCTAGATTAGACTAGGATTTGTGGTTGCGAGCTACAGTTCGAGATCCTTAAACATGAAAATCACATCTAATTGCCACGGGTTGAAGATATGTGTGAAATGTCATTAAGAGCAATGATTGCTTGCAATCAACTCCAACCTAAATGACCTGGAACATACAACAGCCATCACACTCTGGTAAAGAATCACCAGATTTGCTTGCAAGAATTTGAATTTATTTGGGTCAAAGATAATTTTTGTTACTGGAAGGGATATACTGTAAACGTGGAAATATTTGCGGTACATTAATTTTCGCGAATTTCGCGTAAGATCGGCAAGCTGTAATTTAAGAACTCGTGAAAATATAAGCATGACTTCTTATGCGTGTTTTGAACGGCCTGAATTGCATGCAACGCGAATTTAAGAACCGGCGAACATGTTTGTGATCGCTTAGCGCGAAAAATTTATCACGCGAAAATAACAGCGTTTACAGTATACGATGAAGGATTTTGTAATTGTGATAATCTAGGCTCACATTGAGCAGAAATCTTCTTTCTTCATTGGTCATTCTTCACTGATTGTTCTTTTAGCATGAAACATGTAACCCATATTAGTTTTGACTGACTGATCAACACCTCTGAACTGACTGAACTAGACTATGAAACGAGCTTATATCACCTCGGTCTTGGATTCTAAATACAATATTCATGGGCAACCTTTCAAGTTGAACTCACTTTGACCATGCTTATTATACATAATTCATTTGTTTCAAGACAGCGTATCTGTATCTATCCAGTTATATTTCTGGGGGCTGGCCATTGTTTTCAAGGCTTTGTATCAAACTGAAGTCTGAATTCCTCCTTATTTTACTTTCCAGCTGATGCTTGTATACCTCTCAAGGCACAGCAAGTGCTTTGAGAAGTAAGCATCATGCTATATTACCAGCATTCTCACAGTGTGTGTACAACTAATACTTAAAGGGAGTGTAGCATGACGAGACTACGTGTCTTTCCTGTGGCCCGACTCCGGGCCATTCTGGTATAATACAACTATGGATGACGCGACCGCAGCAATCACGTGCGTGCAACATACGCGAAAAACTGAAGAGTGTGGAGAACTTTGGTCTGTTTCTTGCGAACGCTGACTATATAGAGATTAAGTTGCCGACTACCGTTAATCAAGTCCTTTCGTTTACGTGCAGTTGTCCAAAAGAAGAGGTAGATGGCGTTAACCAGTAATTGCCAAGCTACACTCCCTTTAACGTATTCAATATGTATGTTGTTTTCAAGGCTTTTTATTTTAACTGAAGTCTGAACTCCTTCTCATTTACTTTCCAGCTGATGCTTACCTCTCAGAGCGAAGCGAGTGTGAGCATAGATCATCAGATTGTTCCCGATAGCTCCATCGTTCAGAATGGACTCCTCCTTAGCTTGGATGAAGAACATGTGTATGTCATGACCCAGAGACAGGTAAGCACTTATTTACTTCTGACTGAATTTTTTATAAAAAAGTGTTGATGTAAAACAAGTGTGTTGTCAAAATGGTTGTTGTGTAGTGGTGGTTATTTTACCTGACTGCTAAGAAAGCATAAATGCTTGTTAGTAAGCAACTAGAGGACCGATGGCTTTAGGTCCTCTCCGAGAGACCTGGTAATGAGGATAAATGACTTACCAAAATGCACTAGCTCATCAACTTGGTTTTTAATCCAGGTCGCCGGAGTACAAGACCAATGCTCTACCAACTGAGCTATCGCGCCTCATTTTGACCACATGTTTTTTGTTGTCAAAACGGTTGTGTAGGACACGTTCTCCTTTGACAATGGCGCTGTATTCAAATTCCCAACTTCATCCATGGATCCAACACTATGGTACCTAGAATCTTAACCCCAACCCTAAACCTATAAAGCAAACCCATTTCCAACCCTAAATCTATACCTTTGAGGAAACGAAGCTCGGAGCAATTGTTGCAGGATCAAGCCTTTGTTGGATCACTGTCAGGACACTAGGTGCAAGAAAGTCATGAACATGTCTTCCGTCTGTTCAGTAGAGATATAGAGTGATCCTGATTGACTACCTTGATAATAATACTAACTGTCTAAAAAGGCTACATTCTTTACTTCAAGTGGTGTCTGTCTTGAATCATTCCTCTTTGTTTGTTTTGTTCAACAAACAGCCTAAATGTGCCTCTATCGACCCGACCGAATGAGTTGATCAAAAGGTGGCTTGGGAGCATTCTTGTTCTAGCTAGGCTTTTATAGCCAATGTGCCCCTTTGGTATTTGCAGCAATGATTGTCAGTCTATGGCATTTGAGAGCATTAAAAGATAAGGAATTAGCATGGTTCGCTCGTCTCCGTTGACATTCACGCTTGATCAAATGTAGGTTTTATTAGAGCATTAGGACTTGTGAGCTCGGCAGACATACCCTTTGATGTTTTTTTGTTAGTCTCTCTCTAATAGAGATTTAGTTTCATTTCAAACTATTGTGGTGTGAAGATATTTTTTATTATATGAACGCCTTGACATTAATGAAACATCAGTGGATATTGCTAAGTAAGAATATTCAATTCTTCAGGTTCTGTCTGTGTAGCAATTCTTGGGTTTAGAATGCTAGTTTCCGGTAATTAAGGATGAAGGTGTGATATGCAAAAAAAACATTTAAACAAGCATCAGAATGTAGCAAAGTACTTGTCTTTAGCCCCCTCTGGTTGTGACTCTCAGTACTTTGTCTACAGTTTCTTCAGTCACTGTAAATAGCTTACCTCTGCCTTTCTTTTTTTGTTCACTTACCAAATGATATGGAAATGTTGAAAGGAATTATGTTTCCAACTTATATTACAAAATACTTGAAGGATTCCAAGAATTAATCTCAATACAGCTGCCCATGCAAGTTTCAGAAATGTGAAAATATTGCATCTTCTGGAAACTCTGCAATGCAGATGCCGCCGCCACTCTGATGCTTATTGTAACAACAAGGAATTTTCCGTTAGATTAAGCATGATGGGTACTCAATTCAAATGACGCAGTCCTGGTGTCTCGAGATGCTCACCGGGTGTCTTAGATCGATTCCGTCCTTGCTCCGGATAGTGATGCATCTTGAAAGAGTCTACATTTGAGGTTACCATTGATGCGTACAGAGACTCGTCTATGTCACTCGGCTTGATTTGTTAAGCTGTTGGCTTGTGAGATAGGTCACCAATCTAAGGACCGAATAAATGATGTGCAGTGTTCAGAGAAAGTTGTTTATGTCGAGGAGGATTTGAGGGAGATTTAAATCATGAATAAATTTAGAGGAGATTGTGGGTTAATACAGACCTGGATGTATATATACAAGGTATGGTTTATGAATATAAAACTCATTCCGTGCTTGTCATCCACGGAAATGAAATAAATCTGAACTATATTAGATTTCATATGCGTGTCCTTAAAGTAGTGTGCAGTCTTTGCAAACCTATAGCTAGAAATTGCCAGTTATCTGATGTTTAAACAAAATGCACTGCATCTCAAAATGATGTAATTTAAAAGATGTCACTCAATCTATCAAACTGCCACGCCACTCTCTTTTTTATGAAGCTAGAACGTTGACTGTAAGATATTCAGGCATTTTGTTTGCATAGGTCGTAGACCAGTCAGTCAGAAAGGGGTTGAGAGTGCGTTAGCTATTATACAGTCAAAACAGAGTCGACACTCTATCGCTCGGCTGAGGGTAGCTAGCTAGCCCAGAAATGAAAGGGGATAGAGTGTGTTGGACAGCTGCTTGATGTGAGAAAGACTCGCAGTAAGATAGCGGGAAGGCGTATGTACGCCTTCAGATCATTAGAATTGATCGCATATCGGCAGGAAATGTGTTAGGAGAGCCTGCTTGAATATTTTAACCTCTTTAAGAAACGAGAATTTGTAGTCATTTAAAGATTTAGGTAGAGAGAACAATTGTACTGTAGATGTATCCTCATCCATGTCACTTTATACCCAAGTATCAATATATATACATGTAGTTCTTTTTCTTTTGTTCCGTCATTTTTAGTATAAAGGTACCATTTAATACGACATGATGTAATATCGGTTTATTGTGTTTATAATTTGTTTTGGCTGGTCCATAAACATACAGAAAAAATATAAACACATCTGATACTTGTTGAATAAAAACATCAATTGTATCTGTAACGTCAATTCATAAATCATGATTTATTTGTGAAGAGGGGAAAAAAGGATATGATGAAAGAAAGCTCTTTTGATACACAAATTGATAACCATATTGCTTGAAGAGCTTTTTATGATTTTTTTTTATCCAGCACAACATTCTATTATTTTTGCAGAATTCAATAGCAGGAAAAGAGTTGACAAGCAAAACCATTATAATTGTTTTGTCGTCTAAAAATATGAAATCATGTTTATTTGTCTCAAGTAGGTCTAGTCTAAAAAATAATTCATATTAGGCACAAAGGAGTTGGCAAAGAGAGATGTGGTAGGATATAATTGGAAGTGGGCCAGAAAAAAAAATTATGTTTTGCTGTTTAGCGGTTAATTTGAAAAGAGTTAGCAGTACTCAATCGACCTTTGACGAATCATTCACTGCAAAAAGTTTATCGAGCGTAAAATGAACTTGTAAGGGGTTCCTATTCAAAGCCGTTTGTATTGTCGTACCTACTGTGAATGTCATTATATCGACCCTTACAGTCGCATTATTGCCCTTTAATAGAACATGTACAATGTGGTCTCTAGTCTGGGAAATGTCAAATGGCAGAGAAGAATATTATACCACTGTAGCTCTCTAAACTCCCCCTCACCCTTCAGCTGAGATGAAACATGGTATGAAGATATGTATATTCTAAAATAACATTGTCGCAAAAGGAGTATATTGACAAGGAGAAGAATAATTGATCTAGAAACGTACAAATAACCTGATTTGGGGCAATGTGGATAGTTGTGTATTGTGCAATGTGTTTGGGTTCTGCTAGTAATTAACCGAGGTCGGCCTGTACAGCGTTACCATCTGAGCGCTCTTAAGCAGTTTGATTTTTACCATGACACAATAAATAAAAGAACAAATGAATAATCAATGATTAAGCCCTGCCCTATTTTCATATGATTTCCATCCAGTATGCTGCTTACACTCTCAGTGGATCCAGATTTGTTTTAATTAATTTTTGTTTGAATTCTGATTAATTATTAGCTTTTCGTTCAAAACTTTGTGCAAACCCCTGTTTAGCTACAATAACAATTTATCCTACAATGTTACAAGATGAAAAGAATTGATTATTTTACACACCCTTGATTTTTGTTGGATTTTTTACAAAACAACATCATGTTTGGCTCATCTTACCGGATAAAAACTCTACCCAACCCTTCCTGAATAACAAATATTAAAAACTTACAAATATTTTCTTTTGCATATTCCCAGTATTGATGCAGACTGCATAGAATAAACAAGGCAACATTAATTCTCGCTACCCCAAATAGCGATTCTGCCGAGATCCGGGGAAAATCCTGAAAACGCGCATTGCATTATGGGATAGCTTTTCGACATTACAGCTTCCTGTGCAGGCGTTCGTGATCACAACCCTCTCTTTCACGGTATAGTTTAACGGCCTTTTGTGCTAAAGTCACTAATTCTGCCCGAAGCTTTCCATTGCATATTATAATCTGTACAAATTACACTGATTGGCATCGATTTTAGCGTGCGTGAAAACTCTGCACAGCGAACACAGGCGCTAGCGCCAGCGGGATGGGACTCTATACCGGAAGTTGTAGTGACGACCCGAGAGAGTGAAAATTACCTCGTCTCGCGAATTTCGAGATTTTCGTACCTATTTAGGGTAGCGAGAATTGCTTCTTGGATATTACAGTTTATGAGATCACAACAGAACCTCGGAAAGGTTGTTTTCAGAAACTACATTTCTGGTGTTGATCTTAGCAACATGGGTGATTGACTTAACCGTGAATGTCTCAAGTGTTGTAGAAAGAGTATTTCACCGCTACTATTCCATTCAGTATCGGTGAATCGAGCACAAATAAATGCTCCAGTTTCAAGAGGGGTGCACGATATTATTTCAGTCCCTCGTTTGTATGCCCAGACTGTGACTGTAATGAAGGAAGTTGTGAATTACTTTCAGGTCTACAGACGCAAACAAGTCAAGGCCGATCAGGGCATGCTCTACAAAGTAGGAAGAGCAACATAACAGTCAGAAGTTTTTTAATTTTACATGTAGGCGGACAATATTGCTTTGTTTCAAATCATGATCATAGTTGCTTTCTATTCTAGCGGATTTTGCGGTTCATTGATTTTGACCTGATTAATGATTGGTTATTGATTATATTCAGACCAAACAATCGGCCGCTAGCTCTCCGTCGTTAAATCTGAAATGGCAATAAATGGCTCCCCTTTTCATTCATGGGAGGTATGGAATGATTCAGCAGCAGTTTTATTGATCATTTTTTATTTGAAGAAAAAGAGGAAAAAGAGCTCTGAATT